AAATTTTGTTTGTGTCCTCCAGGAGCCTCTATTTCCCCCAGCTCTGTGGGAGTTCTGTAGTCAAATCTTGCTGTCACATAAATGCCACAACACATGTGCGGATGTGAGAGTTGGACCATAAAGAGGACTGATCACTGAAGGATTGATGCTTTTGAGCTATGGTCCTGGAGAAGACTCTTGAGAGTCTCTTGGATGGGAAGGAGATTAAACCAGCAAATCCTAAAGGAAATCAACCCTGAATATCACTGGAAGAACTGCTGCTGAAGCTGAAGCTCCAATACTTGGCTACTTGATGTGAAGAACTGACTTATGAAAATATCCTGATGTTGGGCAAGACTGAAGGCTAAACGGGAAGGGGGTGGCAGAAGATGAGATGATTAGATAGCATCACTGACTCAATGGATATGAAACTGGGCAAACTCTGGGAGATAGTAAGGGACAGGGAAGCATGAGCATGACTTAGTGACTGAATAATAATAACATCTTCTTTGGAGAAATGTCTGTTTAGGTCTTCTGCCTATTGTTTGATTGAGTTGTTGTTTCTCTTGTATTGAGCTGTATGAGTTGTTTGTATATTTTGGAGATAAATCCTCTGTCAATTGTTTCATATGCAGTTCTTTTATTCCCATTCTGAGAGTTGTCTATTCATATTGTTTATAGTTTCCTTTTCTATGAAAAAAGCTTTTAAGTTTAATTAATTCTAATTTTATTTTGTTTCAATTTCCATTTCTCTAAGAGGTGGGTCATAGAGGATCTTTCTGTGATTCACACCAAGAGTGTTCTGCCTATATTTCTCTCTAAGAGTTTTATAGTTTCTGATTTTATATTTGTCTTTAATCCATTTTGAGTTTATCTTTGTGTATGGTTTAGGATGTGTTCTAATTTCATTGTTTAAACATGTAGCTGTCCAATTTCCCAGCACCACTTATTGAAGAGTCCATCTTTTCTTTATTGTATATTCTTGCTTCCTTTGTCAAAGAAAACAATAAATGCTAAAGGGGATGTGGAGGAAAAGGAACACTCTTGCACTGCTGGTCAAAATGTAAATTGGTACAGCCACTGCGGAGAACAGTATGGAGATTTCTTTAAAATATTAGGAACAAAACCATCATATGACCCAGCAATCCCAATACTGGGTGTATACCCTGAGAAAACCATAATTGAAAAAGACACATGTACCCCACTATTCATTGCAGCACATTAACCAGGACATAGAGGAAACCTAGATGCCCACCCATAAATGAATGGAGAAATAAGTTGTGATATGTATGTATTATGTGATATTACTCAGCCATGAAAAGGAATGATTTTGAGTCAGTTCTAGTGAGGTGGATGAACCCAGAGCCTATTATACAAGTAAGAGAAAAAGCAAATATCATACACTAACATATACATATGGAATCTAGAAAAATGGTACTGATGACTCTATTTGCAGGGCAGGAATAGAGACTCAGACATAGAGAACAGACTCATGGACACAGCAGGGTAGGAGAGGGTGATGAGAGAGTAGCATTGAAATATATGCATTACCATATGTAAAATAGCTAATAGGAAGTTGCTATATAACACAGGGAGGTCAACTCAGTGCTCTCTGACAACCTAGAAGGGTGGGGTGAGGTGGGAAGTGGGAGGCAGGTTTAAAAGGGAGGGAACATATGTAAGCCTATGGCTGATTCATGTTCATATATGGCAGAAGCCAACACAACATTATAAAGCAATATCCTCCAATTAAAAATAAATAAATTTTAAAAAACATAACTAATCATTCCAGCAAATATTCAGTTCAGTTCAGTTCAGTGATTCAGTCGTGTCCCACTCTTTGTGACCCCATGAATGGGAGCACGCCAGGCCTCCCTGTCCATCACCAACTCCCAGAGTTTACTCAAACTCATGCCCAGGGAGTCGGTGATGCCATCCAGCCATCTCATCCTCATCCCAGCATCAATGTCTTCTCCAACGAGTCAACTCTTCGCATGAGGTGGCCAAAGAATTGGAGTTTCAGCATTATCATCAGTCCTTCCAATGAACCCCCAGGGGTGATCTCCTTTAGGATGGACTGGTTGGATCTCCTTGCAGTCCAAGGGATTCCCAAGAGTCTTCTCCAACACCATAGTTCAAAAGTATCAATTTTTCGGTGCTCAGCTTTCTTAACAATTCAAGTCTCACATCCATACATGACCACTGGAAAAACTATAGCCTTGGCCAGATGGACCTACTTTGGCAAAAATTTTATCATAGTTACCATGTTATCCTAAAGGGGTGTGCAAAATGAGGCATAGATTTGAATTAAGTTTGGGAAGTAAAATATTTGTATGTAAAATATAATAAATTAAAACAGAAAGTAAACAAATGTAAGGATTTTAAGGTTAAAATAACTCATATGTGTTGGTAAAGTTCAGAGAAGCTATTTGGCAACCCATTTGGACTTACTGAAATTCAACAACCAAGTAGTAAAAATTAGGATTATGTTCAATTGAGAGTAAAAGAGATACAATTTCCCCAATGATTTCAACAGTCAAAATATCTGGAAGTGTGCTGATATAGCATCTCTGCTCCACAAAGTCATCACAGATTCTGAATCTCTTCAGTTAGCTATCCCTAGAGTATAATCCGTATTCACAGAGTCCAAAACAAACAAAAAACAAAAAAGCAACTTCAGATAGCAGCATGGAGAAAGAAATGAATAAGGGGAGAAGGTCACTTACCATTTTTGTTGTTGTTAAAGAATAACCAAGACTGCCTTGATGTTCTTCTTGGCTTGACCAAATTTTCTAGAGATTTCTTCATAACTGTATGTCCCTGATCAATCTGTTGTTAGAATATTTAACTTGTAATTTAAAATTTTCCCTCTGACCCTCTTTTTTTACTGTGGGGTAGTTGTTTTCAACCTTGTCAAATTCACTTATTAGTTTTTGTCAATACTTCTGTAGATTCCTTAGGATTCTCTATAAATATACAATCATGTCAACAATGAATAAAAGCAGTTTTACTTCTTGCTTTCCAATTTTTACACCCTTAATTTCTTTTACTTGCCTGATTGCACAGCTTAGGATCTCCAGTAATTTGTAGAAAAGAAATAGAAGGAGCAGATAGCTTCACCATGTGCCCATTCATGAGGGGAACAATACTTAGATTTTCATCATGAGGTATGATGTTGGCTGTAGGTTCTTTTTGTTTTTGCCTCTTTTAAATTCTTATGTGGACATCCATGTTCCTTATTGTATAGATGTGTGTGTGTGTGTGTGTGTGTTTAATAGGTAACAGATCAAATAGCATTATCTATGATAATTTAAATGAAAAGTGAGTGTCCTTTCTCTGTAGTCTCCCTTCTTCCACTGGCTTCCTGCAAAGGGCTTTAAGAATGTAAAAGATGATTGAGTCAAAGGTTTGGAGGAGTCTGGGTCCCCAGATTACCACACAGAAGAAGGTCATCTGCCCAGCCACCAGGGAAACCCACTGTGTTCCACAACTGCAATTTTGTGGCTTAATTGTTGCAGCAGCTGTTACTCTAACAAATACAAAAGTTAAATTCCAAAAGTAGTTGTTGTTTAGTCTCTCAGTCTGATTCTTTGTGACCCCATGAACTGTAGCCCACCAGTTTCCTGTGTCCATGGGGATTCTTCAGGCAAGAATACTGGAGGGGGTAGCTAATTTTATTTAAAAGGCAGGGATATTGAATAATATCTCCAACTGAGAAAGAGTTTTGAGACTAGAAAACAAAGCAAGCAACACCATAAAGTATAATTGTGAAGTTTATTATAGTAACTTATATACAGTTAGATGGTGATTCAGAGACATTTGTAGCTACACTCTGTCCCTGAAAAGGACATAAGGGAATTCAAAGGAATCAAGGATAAATGTAGAATCTGACCAAAAAGGAAAAAAAGCAAATCTACATCAATGGGAGCCAGTTTTTCCTTCCCTGGAAATTCCATGACTATTATTCTCAGTGGGCTATTAACAGTATGCATCAGCAAAGGAATTCTTTCAGTTTAAATATCAGATAAAGTCAAGGGTTAAAGACTATAGGAAACTTATTTGACTTGCATGCATTTCTTGTGATTAGGTTAGAATTCAGTCCTACAGAAAAGAGAAGAGTTAGGACTCAGGCTCAAAATCGTGTCAGTGTGAGCCAGGCACACAAATGATTACTATTATTTGCTGACTCCAACAATGTGATGTTTTTCCACCTTTGGCTCCCATTCACCCATTTCTTTCAATTCCCCATCCCACTTTGACAATCATAAATCCGTTCTCTGTATCTTGTGTTTCACTATTTTTGTTTTGTTTAGATTCCACATTCAATATTTGTCTTTGTCTGACTTATTTCACTTACATCACTGAGGTTCATATTATTGAAAATGGTAATGATGTATTCCTTTTCATGGCTGAAAAATATTCTATTATTTATTAAAAATTATATCATTTTAATACATTATGATGAATAATGCCATAATGAACATGGAGAGCAGGCACATATCTTTTTAAGCTAGTGTTTTTATTTTCTTCAGACAAAAACTCAGAAGGGAAATCACTGCATTATGTTAGCTATATTTTTCTTTCTTTGAGAAAACTACATCTTGTTTTACATGATAACTGCACCAATTTACATTCCCACCAGCAACGCACAGTGGTTTCCTTTTCTCCATACCCTAACCACTCTGAAATACTTACAAATTTTCTGCCAGTCTTTAGTCAGTTTCACAACCCAAGAATGTCTTTCTGAAGCACCTCGAGCCCTCGCTTTCAAATGAAAACATCGAGAAAGGTAGTTCTATTTCTCAGTTTCTGTGGGAATGTAGGAGCCTAACTTTGATTTATGCTAATTAGGAAACACAGACCCTAATTACAGAGAAAAAACATTTAAAAACTCAGGGATAATTCACTGTGCTGAGTAAATCCCAGCTATCAACTTGCCCACACTGTTGTCCTGCCTTCCACTAATATTCCACTATACACCACAGAGTTTATTTTTTTATTTTTATTTTTTTTGGGGGGTACCAAATTACTTTACTTGAAGGAATGGTACTTAAGTACTTAAGGAAAGAACTTAAGTAGATGTTTTGTTACAACTTATAGAAAAAGTGAAGGTGACCCAAATATGCATGCACTGCCTTGGTGACCAGGAGTCACCCGTGGCTGTGGGAAGCCAGCCTGAGGCTTAGCGCTCACTGTGTCCCAGGGTGTGCTTGTCAAAGAGGTACTCTGCCATGCCAGATCCAGGGGCCCCCATCTTGCACAGGTCGGTTACGTGGTCACCCAATTCTTTGATGGCTTCCACCTGCTCATTCAGGTAATGAGTCTCAATGAAATCACACAGATGGGGATCGTTTTTTTCAGTGGCCAGTTTGTGCAGTTCCAGTAGTGATTGATTCACACTTCTTTCCAAACACAGCGCACATTCCATTGCATTCAGCCCATTCTCCCAGTCATCACGGTCTGGTTTCTTGATATCCTGAAGGAAGATTCGGCCGCCTCGCTGGTTCTGCAGCTTCATTAGTCTCTCAGCATGTTCCCTCTCCTCATGAGATTGGTGAAGAAAGTACTTGGCAAAGTTCTTCAAAGCCACATCATCGCGNAAGAATCCTGGAGTGGGTTGCCATTCGCTTCTGCATGGGATCTTCCCAACCCAGGGATCAAACCCTCATCTCCTGCTTGGCAGGTGGATTCTTTACCGCTGAGCCACCCAGGAAGTCCTTACATACAGATATAAACACAGAGATGGCGATCTAGGTGTAGATATATCCCGCTGGCTCTATTTCTCTGGAGAACCCTGAGTAACCTTTCTCCTTTCACCTACTCCCAAAGCCCAGCTCTCTCTTGGTCAAAGATTCTCCTTCTTTCACGCGGCTGCACATATTTCAGTAAATGCAACACTGGGAAGCTCTTCAGAGAGTAGCCTGAACTTTAGATCAACGGCTTGAAATTACAACTCCAGCTCCAGGCCTGGGGTTTCTGTGCCAAATTGTTAAAAAAAAAAAAAAAAAAAAGATTACAATCAGCCCTCCAGGACTATCAGGTTAAGTGAACCAGAGAATCAGGAAAACACAAAATGCAAAAATTTCTGAAAATAAGATACTTTTTGAAAGACTTGCCAAAAGTATGGTAACATAAAACTAACATTATATTTAGGGTTAGGCATATATTGATTAAAAACTACATTGTTTCTTCTCTCAAAAGGATCACAATTTGGTTGTATATATTTGGAAAACATTCAAAGTAATCTTAAAAATGGCTTATAAGTATTGTATTTGAAATGAAGAGGTAATACAGAAACTGCCTTTATCACACACTCAGTTCAGTTCTGTTGCCCAGTTATGTCCACCTCTTTGAAAACCCATGGACTGAAGCACACCAGGCTTCCCTGTCAATTACCAACTCCCAGAGCCTGCTCAAACTCATGTCCATCAAGTCAGTGATGCCATCCAACCATCTCATCCTCTGTCATCCCCTTTTCCTCCTGCCTTCAATTTTTCCCAGCATCAGGGTCTTTTCTAGTGAGTCAGTTTTTCACATCAGGTGACCAAAGTATTGGAGTTCCAGCTTCAGCATCAATCCTTCCAATGAATATTCAGGACTGATTTCATTTAGGATTGGGAATAAGCAGTTTATTAAGACATTAATATTATAGCAGTACAGTTCAGGTGTAAATAACTAAAGAGATGTCAAAGGAACAAAATAAAGATTACTAAACATTAAAGAATAATAAATAATACTAAACATTAAAGACCAGGTTCAAATGGAAGAAATAATCAGTAAGAGCAATGATAAAATTAGCTTTCTTAGGACAAGCTGCAATAAAATCACCTTTCAACATGATAAACTTTTTTTTTTTATGGGAAAATATCACACTATGTTTGGTTGGCAATGACTCCAGGCCAGAATAAACTTTACTAAATATTATAGTACTCAGTGAACATGAACTTGTCAAACTACTGTGAATGCCATGAGTGCTCTTTAAGGAAATAATCATAGTAAAAAAAAAAAAAAAAAAAAAAGCTAATTAGTCAAGGCCTAAAACAACTTGCAAAATTAAAGTGTGTCAGCCTCTCTGAATCTCCACCTGGAGATTCTTTCTACCTAAAATGTCTGTAGAGATTTACATTTTAATTTCTATCCCACAACATACTTCTTGTCCTGCAATGCTGACTTACATATTTCTAAACAAATTAGAGTCTAAACAGAGCACATTTGTCTTGGTATTGCATTTTTTGGCAACTTTAAAAACTTCTCATTACTTATCATACCCATTCCTAATCACCAACTGTGTCTCTCTCAACTCACTCAACCCTTAAATATATCATTTTGTTATTTCTTCATTTAAATTCTATCATTTATTTTATGCTTAAAATATACTTACAAAGCAAAGGATATCATTAAATAAATTGTATTTATGGGACAACCATTTTTCCTTTCAAAATTATGTATTATAAGCCAAATTGGAAAGAAAGGATCTAATAGAATTTTCCAAAGTTTTTTGTGATTCACACAGTCAAAGTCTTTGACATAGTCAATAAAGTGGAGTAGACGTTTTTCTGGAACTCTCTTGGTTTTTCAATGATCCAATGGATGTGGCAATTTGATCTCTGGTTCCTCTGGGTTTTCTAAATCCAGCTTGAACATCTGGAAGTTCACAGTTCACATCCTGTTGAAGCCTGGCTTGGAGAATTTTGAGAATTAGTTCACTAGCAGGTGAGATGAGTGAAATTGTGTGGTAGTTTGAGCATTATTTGGCATTGCCTTTCTTTGGAATTGGAATGAAAACTGACCTTTTCCAGTCCTGTGGCCACTGCTGAGTTTTCCAAATTTGCTGGCATATTNCATTACTTCATGGCAAATAGGTGGGGAAACTGGAAACAGTGACAGACTTTATTTTTTCTGGGCTCCAAAATCACTACAGATGTTGACTGCAGCCATGAAAAAAAGACACTTGCTCCTTGGAAGAAAAGCTATGACCAACCTAGACAGCTTATTAAAAAGCAGAAACATTACTTTGCCAGCAAAGGTCTATCTAGTCAAAACTATGTTTTTTTCAGTAGTCATGTATGGATGCAGGACTTGGACTATAAAGAAAGCTGAGTGCTGAAGAATTGATGTTTTTTGAACTGTAGTGTTGGAGAAGACACTTGAGAGTCCCTTGGACTGCAAAGAGATCCAACCAGTCCATCCTAAAGGAAATCATTCATGAATATTCATTGTAAGGACTGAAGCTGAGTCTGAAACTCCAATACTTTGGCCACCTGATCTGAAGAACTGACTCATTTGAAAATACCCTGATGCTGGGAATGATTGAAGATTGGAGGAGAAAGGGATGGCAGAGGATGAGATGGTTGGATGGCAGCACCGACTCAATAGGCATGAGTTTGAGTAAACTCCAGGAGTTGGTGATGGACAGGGAGACCTGGTGTGCTGCAGTCCATGGGGTCGAAAAGAGCTGAACACAACTGAGCGACTGAACTGAACTAAATAGAAAGAAGATAAGAAATTTGCCAGATGTAAAATAGATTTCAATATTGTCAAGAAGCCAGTTCACTTGTATTAAGAAGATGAGAGAGATAAATGTTGAGAAACTACAAGCAAAGCTCAGAGTTTTAATTTTAGATTTTAGCAATGCATTTCTGGGAAGGCACTGGGGTTTCCCTGGTGAATCAGGTGGTGAAGAATATGCCTGCAATTCAGGAGCTGCTGCTGCTGCTGCTGCTAAGTCACTTCAGTCGTGTCCGACTCTGTGCGACCCATAGACGGCAGCCCACTAGGCTCCTCTCTCCCTGGGATCCTCCAGGCAAGAACACTGGAGTGGGTCGCCATTTCCTTCTCCAATGCATGAAAGTGAAAAAGTGAAAGTGAAGTCACTCAGTCGTGCCCGACTCTTAGCGACCCCATGGACTGCAGCCCACCAGGCTCCTCCATCCATGGGATTTTCCAAGCAAGAGTACTGGAGTGGGGTGCCATTGACTTCTCCAGCAATTCAGGAGGCATGGGTTCAATCCTAGGGTTGGGAAAATATCCTGGAGAAAGGAATGGCTGTCTACTCCAGTATTCTTTCCTGGATAATTTCATGAACACAAGAATCTGGTAGCCTATATTCCATGGTGTCACAAAGACAGGGACATGACTGAGAGACTAACACCGAGATGTTCACTTTTTCAAGGTCTTGGGTGTTCTTGCAATAGTTAGCCAAACATAAGTGTAAATAAAAAGTGTCCAGTTGTCAAGAGCAAAATTTCAGAGACTGGCTGTGACATGGTCATTTGTAAGGTTGTTAAGTCATTAATGTACAATAATAGAGCTTAAATTTGAAAAATAATTCTAAGTCCAGTTTAGATAGTACACATGAGAAGAGAGGAAACACAATTTTTTGTTTTGTTGTTAAACTAAAGCTAGTTTAAATAAAGACAAATAGTGATTATCTGGTATAAGATTCAAGGATATATAGATGGAAATTGTGGAAAATAAAGCCTTTAAAAGGTTGTAATTTTTGGAGCTTGTCAGTTTGTTCTTGTCAGCAGGCCACAGTCTTGTTTATCATTCTAAAAATAATGCTGTTGGGTCATCCTCAGGATCTTGAAAGGTAGATGATGAAAATGTCGCTCTCCAGAGGCATGTAAAAGAACTTACCTCCCCTGACTAGACAGTAGCAAGAAAGAATTCTCTGATTCCACTGTTTTCTGATAAAAGCAAAAAGTGGTCTGGTCCATTTTGACATCTGATACATCACATTTTGAACTAAGAAACTTCATAAGCAGGTGAAGTTATTCAGTTACTGTAAGAAGTTATTCAGTGTCTCCTTCCAGTAAGTCTTTTAAACACATAGCTAATAGAGAATAAGTTGATATTTAAACTTTACTCATTTCATTGAGTTAGTGAGAATGAAAAATACCACTGTGTCCCTCTCATATTGCTTAAAACCATATAACATATTAGATGTGAACAGAGTGAGGAGGAAAGGCATTCGTATTTTTCCATCTACCATATTCCTGCAGTGTAAAAAGTACTTAGAAATGTTCTCTCAATTAATTGGATTGTAAATTTTGGTGGAAAAAGGGTCTCCTATTCATTTTGAATAACAAACAAATGACATTCANGTTACTCTATAAAATGTATTTAAAAAGTAGCAAAGCAGCTGAAAGAATATCAATAAACAATGTAGTTGAGACTTCAGAAGAAATATTGGAAATTCCTTCAAATCAAGAAAAGGCTTCTCTAGAGGAGAAGCCCCCAGGTCACACCAGTGGTAAAGAACCTGACTGCAGATGCAAGAGACATGGGTTCGATCCCTGGGTACGGAAGATCTCCTGGAGAAGAAAATGGCAACCCACACCAGTATCTTTGCCTGGAAAGTTCCATGGACAGAGGAGCCTGGTAGGCTACAGTCCATGAGGTCCCAAAAGAGTCAGACAACTTAGCATCTGAGAACAGCTAGAGAATATTATCTATAGAAAACTAAGGTGGAAATCAGAAGTACTATTTAGTAAAGAATAACCAAATGAAAACATAATGAAGAGTAATGCAAGATGAGTAAAAGGAACTACAGTAATAGGATCTAAAGGCTGATTAGAAGTTTCAATATTT